AAGTATGTGAGTGTTGTTTTCAGTAAGTATGTAAGTGTTGTTTTCAGTAAGTATGTAAGTATTGTTTTCAGTAAGTATGTAAGTGTTGTTTTCAGTAAGTATGTAAGTGTTGTTTTCAGTAGGTATGTAAGTATTGTTTTCAGAGTAAGTATGTGAATGTTGTTTTCAGTAAGTATGTGAGTGTTGTTTTCAGTAAGTATGTAAGTGTTGTTTTCAGAGTAAGTATGTGAATGTTGTTTTCAGTAAGTATGTGAGTGTTGTTTTCAGTAAGTATGTAAGTGTTGTTTTCAGTAAGTATGTAAGTGTTGTTTTCAGTAAGTATGTAAGTGTTGTTTTCAGTAAGTATGTAAGTGTTGTTTTCAGTAGGTATGTAAGTATTGTTTTCAGAGTAAGTATGTGAATGTTGTTTTCAGTAAGTATGTGAGTGTTGTTTTCAGTAAGTATGTAAGTGTTGTTTTCAGAGTAAGTATGTGAATGTTGTTTTCAGTAAGTATGTGAGTGTTGTTTTCAGTAAGTATGTAAGTGTTGTTTTCAGTAAGTATGTAAGTGTTGTTTTCAGTAAGTATGTGAGTGTTGTTTTCAGTAAGTATGTAAGTGTTGTTTTCAGAGTAAGTATGTGAATGTTGTTTTCAGTAAGTATGTGAGTGTTGTTTTCAGTAAGTATGTAAGTGTTGTTTTCAGTAAGTATGTAAGTGTTGTTTTCAGTAAGTATGTAAGTGTTGTTTTCAGTAAGTATGTAAGTGTTGTTTTCAGTAGGTATGTAAGTATTGTTTTCAGAGTAAGTATGTGAATGTTGTTTTCAGTAAGTATGTGAGTGTTGTTTTCAGTAAGTATGTAAGTGTTGTTTTCAGAGTAAGTATGTGAATGTTGTTTTCAGTAAGTATGTGAGTGTTGTTTTCAGTAAGTATGTAAGTGTTGTTTTCAGAGTAAGTATGTGAATGTTGTTTTCAGTAAGTATGTGAGTGTTGTTTTCAGTAAGTATGTAAGTGTTGTTTTCAGTAAGTATGTGAGTGTTGTTTTCAGAGTAAGTATGTGAGTGTTGTTTTCAGAGTAAGTATGTGAGTGTTGTTTTCAGAGTAAGTATGTGAGTGTTGTTTTCAGTAAGTATGTAAGTGTTGTTTTCAGTAAGTATGTGAGTGTTGTTTTCAGTAAGTATGTGAGTGTTGTTTTCAGAGTAAGTATGTGAA